TCGGCTTAGTTTTTGAGTTATTTCAATACATACAAAAACAGAAATCCTTCGTCTTTATAATATTATTATAGGTAACGGCTCATTTGTATACAGTTAAGCAAGTTTGGTGGAAAAGTGTTTTTTTAAGACATCTAAGTATAAGTTAACATAGACGTATTTTTATTTCATTAACTAGCTTTCGCCTGCGAATCCGTCCGCGTGGAATTAAAAAAAAAAAAACAAGGTAAGTAGCCTATGTGTTCTTCCAGACTATCCTCTATGAGATCCGTTCAGACGTTTAGGCTGCAAACTCTAAGAAACTTCCATCCATCTAAACTTATATAACATTAGTACGGTATTAAGTGTAAATTTTATTTTCTATCGTGTGTCACTATAAAATGATTTTTGTTTGCCTACGCGATCTTGGGCCGCTTATTAATTATCGAAATATAATCACATAATATAAATTTTAATTTGGATAGATCTAGATTAGAATAGTCCAAAAAGCATAAACAGTGTTCAAAATATCAAGTAATTTTGTTCCAAATGTAAAGAAGAATAAGAGTCCTCTTATCCTACATTATCCAATTAGAATCTTTTAAGATGTATTAGTAGGTTACCATGTGACGTGGAAGAAGGTCTTGCACATGCCAGCATCGCAGCCGACGGCGACGCCGGTGCGCGCCAGCGTGCCGTCCTCGCACAGCGCGCACGAGCGCGCGCCCCACCGCGAGTACGCCATCTCGAACAGCGTCACCCCCGACAGCCGCTCCACCTGCGCACACGCCCTCATCTTATATCTATACTGTTAGGAACAAAATTAGTACCGTGCAGTAGAGATGGCGCAACACTAGATTATCGGCATAAACGTCACGTCCCTAGCTGACAGCTGTCAATGTCACTAGAAGTATGGATAGATTGGCGCGCAACTTAAGTCTTGACGAGAAGTGTTGCTCTGAGTTTAAAGCGACAGTATCAATTAAATAAGTTGTCTAAAAATACTAATAATATAAATAAAAAGATTTGTATTTATTGTTTGTATTAAAATAACTCAAAAACTACTGAACCGATTCTAAAAATTCTTTCATCATTAATAAGTATGTATTCACTGAGTAACATAGGCTACGTTTTTCATTTTTTTTTTATTTCACTCGAAAGTCGCGAGCAATTACTAATATTCAGCTTCCTGTCCTTATCCCACAGGAAGCCTCATAAAACCTCATTGTTTAGGGTTCATTTTTACAGCACGCTGCAAACCTGTAGCCAACCCAATTTCATAGACAAATTACAGCTAAATATATAAATCACTTATATAGCTGGAAAACACTTAAATAGCAAAATATTACGACAAAAATAAAATGCCGAAGCTTCAATAGCCTATTGGTTAAGAAAACAGATTTCAGAACACATGGGCGAGAGTTCGAATACCGACATTCGACTAATCTCATATCCTAGCAAAAGAAATTAATTGTATTGTAACAAGAAATATTAGTAAATTAACGAACATTGGCAAATGTTTTAACAAAAGTCTCATATTTTAGAATTGATTATTAAATAATTTTACTTGTGAAAGTCAAATATTTACAGATGCTGTCCAAAAAATTACTCAGATACATAATTAACAATATGATTACTGTTGTAATGCTAACTATTACCTCAGAGAAAGCCACTCCAGGTACATAAAGTGCACAAACGAGATGAACCCAAGCACCCACTTCAGTTTCTTTGAATATACCACCTGCAACATGCAAACAAGTAGTCAATAAAACAAGGTACATGACTTGGCACTTGGAAAACATTAGTATTCTTTTGTCCTATGTGCCAACTTTAGTCAGAATAAATTCATTTTGAATAGAAAAAATTACAATAATATGAACCTGTCCCACCAAATTGTAAATTATCTGAAGACAATCCAACATGCATATGTGTATGGAAATATAGGATTTTGTTGCCTTATCTGACAATGACGTCATTTTTAAGCTGTTTGAGCCTCTACCTGTCAGTGGTGGGACAGGCCCTAAGTATTCTTAGAAAATAATTGAACATACCTTTATTGGGGCATAGTTCACAGTTAGGATCAGTAACACCTGCTTTACAAGCCTCACAGAACCATGGTTCAGTTGATGCAGAACTAACTGTACTTGATTCACTTGTCACATCAGACACTCCATAACAACCTGAAAAGAGTACTATATGTTAAAACTGTACTATCTAGCAGTACATTTTTACTTCTAAGGATATCTGCTTTTTATTTAAGCAAGTACCATTTACTATGCAATATGCATTCTCAAGAAGACCACAGTACATGATTGTCATAAAACCATAGTTTTAATTTCATAATAACATCTACAATTTTTACCTTCATGGACAGTAACTCCACAACCATCACATTCTACAATTTCATTAAAATCATCACTTCTTGAACCCAAGCAGCCGGCACAAATTAGCATGTTGGCCAATTCACTGGGAAACTGTAAATAAAGTTTAAACAATGAAAAATATTATATTGGACAAACTTTTGTTTGCAAAATTCAGCAGGGACCCTGTCTCCTAAATAGTTACTGTTTCAGAAGGCAGGTGTTAGGGAAAGTCAGTCTTGCATCTAATAATTGCAGAACTTAATATATCATGATAAATACCTTAAACTCTTTCATCTTTGCTTTTTCAAGTAAATCAGTTACACATATCTCTTCACCCAATTTATTGGTAGAATTCTTAAAATCATTCTCAATATCTGAGCCAGATTGGTCATCTGAACTGCCGCTGTTTGCATTTCCTTCTGCAACAATGTCCACAATTGTATACAAACACATAGACACATAATAATCTAGATTAAAAAAAAACATTTTCTATGCATAAGATATCCAAAATTATGGCTCTAAAGATAATTAGTCTAATAAGTAATTATTTTCTAAATGTTTATTTTATGTCACCATATTACTTAAGAGAACTCATTTTAGTTCAATCTAAGAAATATTTTTATTAAGAAATCTAACTATGAAAAAAATTATGACAACAAAAACTCACTCTTTTCTTCATCATCAGAGTTTATAGAGTAGTCATCACTCTCTTCCGGATGATCTTCAATCCTAAAATCTGAATCATCTGAGCTCTCCCCTTCACCAAGATCAAAATCTAACAATGACTGAGGTTCAACTGGTTTAACTTTACGCTTCGCTGTGCCTCTTCCAGCTGAAAAATAAAAAAACAACAAAATAAATTTACTGACATAACACAAGAGTCCATGAGTGTACTTATTTTCTACTTTTAGGAGTCAAATTTTGTGTAAAACATGAATAAATACTTACGGTTACTCATTGTAGTTCCAAATATAGTTATTTATCAAGACCAAATTCCATTACAAACCTGAAAAGAACAATCCTAGTACAATAAAACGCCGGCTCTATATAAATAAAACTTATTTCACATATATCTTACTTTTCTAACACAAGCATAAGCACCTATCAAATTAATGCTGAAATTCAAGGGAAATCCCATAAATTCGACAAAAGTTAAAAATAACTTTCAATTATTAGTACACCATTTAAGATCTAAATAATCGTACATGTTCCAAATTTATGAAATACAGTATTAAGTAAATCCTTTCCTAAATAACTTCCTAAATCCTAAGTTATGAGAAAAGGTATAGTTTAAGACTATAATTAATTTTAATAACTTATAATTAAACATTTAGCTTTAAGTTTTTGTAGTCAAAAATAATTAGAAAATTGATTGAATGAATGAATTGGTACAAACGTCATGCTGTAACAATGCAGTTAGAAAATCTTAATAAAACCATCAGCAAATCAGTAAAAAGTCCTTATTTACTTTAAATTTTTATCACAATTCATTACCAAACGACATATTTTTCACGAAGTAAGGAAAGGTAACCATTTACGATAAATAAAACCACGATATGTTCCTATGGATGCTTACAAATATTTCGCACTCTACTCTATTCTCCAACTCAATCTCTCATTCACTTGTATAAATATGAAAAAAATAAATTGTCAGATCACAGACAACTGTCGCTGTCGAAATCCCGTCAAACAAATGTCAATGTCAATTCTACCAATTGTTTTGTTTGGGCATTTATTTCTTGTGCGGTGGATTAATCGTTGATTTAATACATTTAGTTTATTTGTGTTATCTGTTTTAAAAGAAGGGATTATAATTATTATTTTTCTCTAGCAGTAATCTTCAAAAAAATCTGATTCATTCTTCAAAGATGGTTGGGTTAGACGCAGATCTGAACAAGGATGACGAATGTGATAATATTGGCTTAGGATGTGCATTAGAGCACTTCTCTGAGGTTGAAGATGTGATGAACATGATAGATAATTTGAAAAATATATATGAGACGCCACAATTGGAAGTAGACTATGATAGATTATATAGTATTTTGAAGCAATATTATGAGCAACCTCACCTACTTGATCCACACTTGGATAAGATATTAGCCAAGTTTATTGCATTGATTAAGGATAAAGAATCCCCTAGTGGATTAAAACATGCTACCTTCAACTATATGTATCAAATTATAAGAGTTCGTGGATATAAAGTGGTTGTAAGGCACTTGCCTCATGAGGTATATTGACATTTATAATAATAAAAAAAATGGTTATACAAACGGAATAGAAATGATTATATAAAATTAAATTTCAGGTATCGGATCTTTTAACTGTTCTAACATTCCTAGAAGCGCAAGACCCAATGGACAAAGAAACATGGCGCAGTAGACTCGTTTTACTCCTTTGGCTCTCTATTGGTGTTATTATTCCATTTCACATGAGCAGATTGGATGGATTTGCACCAGACCAACCAGGTAACACTGCACTGTAAATTTCCAAAATGTCATATGTAAAATTTTATACATTCTGATACTATTAGACTTAACCCACATGAAATTAAAAAGATAGTAATAATATAGCCCATGTTACTAAGCAATAACATAGCTTTTTAATGTTGCAAGAATTTTTATAATTGGTCCAGTAGATTTTGAGTTATGTAAATACATACAAAAATACAAGTCTTTCCTCTTTATAATATTAAGTATAGAACAATCACTCATTTTATTTTAGTGGTATAGTTATGTGTTTGTTGTTGTACAGGAGCAGCTGGTTCTTCTAAAAAGTTAACTGTAATGGAAAGGATTTTCAATATGTGCAAAATATATGCTTGTAGTAAGGATTCCTGTGCTGAAGCTAGTGCATATTTAGCCTCTAAGTTTCTTACCAGGTGAGATAACTTATTCTAGAAGTTTCAGTAAATGTGTTTGTATTTAAATTAAACAAAAGCATTTGCAATGCACTTTTAAGCCATCACCTAATCAATTTTTATACAATTTTATTTGCATTCTACAGGTCTGATGTTAAAGAAATTTATTTAGGTGCTTTCTTCGACTGGGCTTGTGATTTACATTCCAATTTGAAAGATCAAGACACAATACATTATGGTGTGCTAGCAGCTGTGGCTGCAGTACTTAAACATGGGAAAAGAGATGATTTACTTCCATACACACCTAAGTTACTGCAGTGGGTTAATGAACAAAACTATAAACATCACAATGCCATGCTCGTTAGGAAGTATGGAGTTAAAATTGTGCAAAGAATTGGTAAGTATGTGTTAATTCTCCTATGTGTTAGTTCTGTTGCCTATATAATACTATCTGAATAATTAAAAACAAACTTAAGTAAGTAAGTAGTCTATGTGTTCTTCCAGTTCTGCTCTACTTCTGTGTAAAATTTCATTAATTTCAATTTAGCCATTCTGGTGATACCTTCTAACACAATAAATATATTTATCTAAACTTTTGCATTTATATTATTACTAAGATAAGAAGTTTATTTGCCACATTTCAAATGAGATATCTACAGTAGTGGTCACCCTTAGTGATTAATTAATAATTCTGAGTGCGGCAAATACTCTAATTATAAACAGACTAACATCAAATTGTCACTAAGAAATGCCATTGACGCTATTGTTTACCAACAAATAATGTTTTTTTTTTTTCAGGATTAACATTCCTGCGGCCTCGTGTAGCATCGTTTCGGTACACGCAGGGCTCGAGGTCTCTCGCAGTGACTCTGGGCGGGGTCGCGGCAGCCGGGGACACCGAGCCCGTTGCCGCGCCTCCTGATGACGAGGACCAGGATATACCACAGGAGGTATGTTGTGATGTATAAAGACATTTCAGAAATAATTATGGCAATGCATTATATATTTTAAATGTTTAACTAAAGCTATAAATATAGGAGATGTTCGTGTGCCTTTTTCATTGGCATGAAATTATAGAAATTTTGTTTTATTGTTCACATTTGTGGTATTTTCAATTGAAATGCATAAATGACAATAAATTTAATAGCGTGAAAATATATAGCCGAAATCGTGTCGTAAGTGTAGGGTTATTTATTAAAGAAAGAATTATTCAAAAATAGGCTGTGATTGCTGACACCCTACTAGTAGTGTTTACTCTGTATTATGTTTGTATAGAAGTATGGATATTATAAAAGACAGAAATCTTTAATTTTTTATTACTTATGTCCTAATATTGTATTTGTTACAGGTAGAAGAAGTAGTGGAACTACTCCTGTGTTCTCTACGTGATGAGGACACAGTTGTACGGTGGTCGGCAGCGAAGGGTGTAGGCAGGATAGGTGCGCGGCTGCCGGCGCTCGCCGCCGCCGACGTCTGTGAGATCGTGCTTACATTGTTCGCTGAGAATGAACGAGACACCGCATGGCATGGAGGATGTATGGCTCTTGCGGAATTGGGTAAGGATATACAACGCGTTTCAAATAAAAAAAAACTACGAAGTTACTAACCTTAGTCAAGTCACAAGAAAAGCATATATTTAAAAAAATAGTGAACTTTTTTATGGTCCATAGAAATGTTTAGTTTTATACTTTTTAGATTTGAAAGCTATAGTAGGATATGACGCGGATTCACATAGTAATTTGCTCTAGCAAATGCCAAAATATGGTCAGCGAATGATTTTAAATTTAACGGGCAGTGAGTCGTTGGTCGCTGTGTAGTGAGCGAGTTGACTTTGGGTGACAATACAATAACGTTTACTATGACATCTACAAAACTAACTACTAACATCGACAAAATATATTATTTATGCAGCGCCTTTATCCTGCGAAAAAGTAATTAAAGCCAGTTTTGATGACTTACTTGTTCCTTAGTCATGCTAACAAGAATAATATAAAAGCGGTCTCTGACCAGTAAAAGGACCAGTAAAAAATCACTATAAGACAGTAATACAGTAAGGCAGCGTGTGTCCGGCAGCTCGGCGCGGTCTGCTGTCCCCGCAGCAGCTG